GGGTTCTCATTAAAAAAAAAGGTATAAGTACGTAAGGAAACCGATTAAGATCCCCGCCAGTACCAACGATATTGTTAATATCGCACAAAATTTATTTTTGTATGTGAAATGGGCCTACTACATATTGTGGCACATAGTAATAAAACGTGTGTCGATTTGTTCTTTATAATCTCTAGTTTACAATTGTAATATAAGTTTTACCACGTCTAACGGGAAATGATACCTGTGGCTTCAAAAAAATTACAAAATGGCGGATTAATTAGCTAGTAGTATACATTCCGTTTTATAATTACTTAAAATCATTTTATATGATATTTGCTTACACTTAAATAAAAGAGGATTGTGAACAAATTCGAATGGTATCTCTGTTTACTTAATTAAAACCTATGTAATTACCATGGCATAGTAAAACAATTTTTTCTTGCTTTTGTACACACTACAAAAACTTTTCGCATTACGTCACTGAAGATTTCATGATTCCGGTTAGATTTTCATATAATGTTTAGCTTACTAATAGCAAAATTAATTTCTTTTTATGTTTAATATCATTAATATATATTATAATTTGTGCTTTGCTTGGCGGTGAAGGAAAATATGTGAACTCCGCCAACACGCTTTGGAAATGAGATATTATGTCATTTCCCCAGCATTGGGATGTTTGTATATACTATATTCTAACTTTACTTTTTAATCTAAACATAAAAATACAATTGTACAGTCTGTCTAAAATATCGAAGTAACCGCCTTTTTTGAGCTGAGATATTTGCATGCCATGAGACATGAGTACCATTTCACAAAATATGTTTGTATCTCCTGGCTAAACTTCGAGATGGCTTAACCGATTAAAATGGAACTTGATGAACAATTAGAGAGCAACAACAGGAATGATCTAAGAAAATGTAAGTTATAAGTAGATATTGTTTATTGTTTTAAAAAATCTAGATGACGGCACATTAATAGATCCCACCGAGTTCATAAATATAATGCTAAAATTCCAGAGATGTATTACTTTAAGGAACAAACGGAAGGCAGCGTATATAAAGTCATAATAATCTCGAAGTCAGCGTCTATAAGAATAAAAACGAAAGCAATTGTCGCCGCTACTAGAATTAGGACGATATGATCATCACAAAAATAATTTGATTGTTAAATATAATCTAAATGTTATTATCTTTTTTTAATTTAAGCGTTGATAATATTTATAAAATTTAATTTTTTAGTTAAAAAGCTAAAATATATTTAAAAGACGAGAAGACCCTATAGAGTTTTATATTTATATAAATTAAAAAATTTTATAAGATTTAAAATTTGAATTTATATAAATATTTTGTTTTTAAAGTCTAATCTGCCCACTGATAATATATTAAAGGGCTGCAGTATTTTGACTGTACAAAGGTAGCATAATCGTTAGTCTCTTAATTGGTGACATGTATGAAGGATTTGATGATTTTTTTTAAATACCAATACTCTTTAAATTTGGATACAAATTAGAATTAAACTATGTTAATAAATTAGTAATTTTACAACATCCATAGGCATTGTATTTTTAAATACCAGTACTCTTTAAATTTGGATACAAATTAGAATTAAATTATGTAAATAAATTAGTAATTTTACAACATCCACAGGTATTGGCAATGGGTATTAGTTTTTATCAACTATTACTTTTAATTTTTAGTTTTACTATTATAATATAATTCAAGTGAGATACCGTGAATGTCTCTTGTGTAAAGGCGATTTATACACATACATTGCACATGGATAGACTTTCAGACTCCACTACATCACTTTATTCAAACTTTACGCATGTCGAATCGGCTGCCCGTACATAGCCTTAACTGCTGTCCAACCAAACAATTATTAATTAGAGTTACCGTATTACAATTAGGAGATTACAAATCTATTCAATTTTATCATCGATCAATTATATACTTGATCGAAGAATTTTATGCAAACAGTAAAGAAAATAAATTGTCGTAATTAAATTTGTTAGTCTTATAAAATAATTTTATAATATTAAAACCTATATATTATTCATTCTTTGTTTCACCCTTAGAGTTTACACACATATTTTACGCGCGAACTTTATATGAAAGTAAACTTATATTTATCACTGTTTATTTGTAAGATAATACTTAGTGCTATTACTATTTAGTATAACAAAGATGTTAGTAATATAAATATAATTATATTACTAACATTTTTGTTAAACTAAAGTTTTTAATTTTGCAGCTCAAGCAAAGCATGTTGTGGTATACTAGCGTTTTAGAATTGTTATTTGTTAGTCTATTTTGTGTAGTTTTTTACGATTAATTGGTTACCGATAGCTGATGTTTTATTTACTTATATATTCAAAAATATTTACCTGCTACAAAAGTAATAATAATAACTATATAAATTAGTTAACCCCTATAACTTATAATTATTGGCTTGTTGTCTCTTTATTTATTGTATCAATATTATTAATTGAATACCTGTTAATTACCCGAATAATAATATGAGATGTTATTAATAATACAAACATAAAACTCACCAGACAAAAAGTTAAATTAAAACCATAGGCACATAACACAACACTAAATTTATACGAGAAAATTATTTTATACTTGTACGAAACATTCTACATTCGAAGTTCAGTATAAGAACGAAACACAAGCGTCCTCTTTCAGAGATGAAAGTCAACTGAAAATGAAAGCCCGTTTCTGAAACTGAAGTAGAGCTGGATCGTAAGTACTTGCTCCTGTTTTAGAAATATGTGAAAGCTTGTTATATTTGAAATATTATTGTTACATTGGAGTACGTTGCGTTCGTGTTTTTGAGTCTAAGGAGTTAATTTTGACAGAGAAAATACTTTATTAATAATTTTTAAAAATTGTTAATAAGTTAAATAGTATTATACAATTATAAGTTAATGTAAACTTGCAGAGCAAATAAAAAAACATTACAACTATTAAAAAACATATAAAGATATACTCTCTTTCCTAGTTATGTCTACAACAAAACTAGGAAAGAATAAAATACATACTTAATAGAATATATCATATAAAATAATATAATTGAATAAATCGAATAACATGTAACAAGTGAATCGAATAGAAGCCTCTATATTTGTTACACGTTATTTTTTCCAGACGGTAAAAAGATCATCCAGTAAACATTTAATAAAGTTAAATAAAATATAAACCCAACCAGATGGTAACCGATGGAGCCGGTAACCAAGGGTTGGGGGAAAGAAAGCGGCGGACGATATGGGTGGCATCATGGAACACGGCATTCTGCATTTGAGCTCGAAGCGGCCCATTATAGGGTACCAACAAAAGTTTCGTGATAGAGCCATGCTTCAGCTATATTGTGGTTGCAGCACGAGTGGGTCGACACGACCGGGGCAGGACCACGTTCTCACAGAAGTCCAGTGTAAAATAGCAGCTTAATGAGTGTTTAGTGTGGTGAGGGTAGAGAACCGGTGACCCTTTTTACTGGAAACGAAGCATTCCATCTTCTTATCTATTCGCTCGCTTCGCTCACTCAATCGACCCCGCCTTCTACTTCTAATCTAACCTGTCCGAGTCCCGAGCTCGCTTTGTTTTGATCTTACACTTAATAAAACACCAAAATATTAACTTTTATAATTATTTCGATTTTCTAATCTTTCCAATGTTTTTTAAAATGTTCGTTTTTTGGTGTAGATTAAAAAAAATATTACTTCGTTTAATGCTTTGCAAAATAAGTTATGAACGATTATATTCCAAGAAAAAGATCGCATTTAAAGCTATAAAACTATATGAACTCCTCAAGTGTCCATATTTTTTTCATAAATTCGCCGTAAAACGAAGAAAAAATATCTAGTAATAATATATAAAAATTCATCGAAATCGGATGATTTTTCGATTTTCTAGAAACAAAAAACGAGGGGACCGCGATAGTATAAAATTACCCTAGTTTTGACGGATTTTATCGTGTATAAACTTTTTTATTTTCCCGACGTTTCGAGCACTTTATAGTACCTTTGGTTACGGGGGGGGGGAGAACTGAGGTGATCGTGACCTTATAGTATCTTGAAGTCTTCTAGTTGTATGCTTGGGTTGGGATTTAATTTTATTGTTACGAGCTTAGGGTTCGTGACAATAAAAACTGCCGATTGTATTACCAAAATTGACACTTCAATTACCGACAGCAATTAAAACTAAAAACACACTAATAATTAATCACACTTATACGCTTTAGTTCACTTTATTTCGCTCCGAAGCCTTCGCTTGTGTCGCCAGTTCAATACTCCCTCGGTCGCGCCCCATATTGGCCTTATACCTTTTCTACTGAAAACATCTGCACAGAATGTTCGAGAAGAATGTCGAAAGATCTAGCAAAGAATCCTCCAGAAAGCCCTCGCCACTCGACAGTAGATGGCGCTAGTGGGAAAGTTCTAGAAAGATCTTGACGCTCCTATTTCTGCTACTTGATACTAGATGGCGCTAATAATCACCTACCATATACCGGGCATTAATTATGGCGCGCAACATTATTAATTATAGGAATCCAAGCAGATGGTAGCACCCAGCCATCTTCTCTATTGAAATTATGATGTTTTTTGATTTCATAGCCTCGTGAATCACCCTTGGAAGGAATCGGTGTTTTACCACAAATATTTTAGCGAGTATTTGTGGTCCATCAAATCTGATGTAGATTTAACGGAGCGTCGATCCTTCACAAAAGCTATATGTCATTTGTGTATTCTGCTGACACAGCTCATACATGCGTCGCCCGTGTCAATGTGTATATAATTATTGTAAAATATAATACCGACCGCCACCGGCGGGACGGCAATCTGTAAGCGAGTAGTGCGGTTCCTTTTTGGGTGTAACGCGCCTTTGAGGTGTAAAATAAAACGGCAATGCAAATTGATGTGAACCGTTTTATCATTTCCTTCTCTACACAAGCCCCTAGGATACACTAGCCACCAAGGTTCTCAATATTGGTGACCCCGGGTTAGGCCTTGTGTAGGGATGGAAGTGCTACATGTCGTAGCACGAAGCCGCAAAACACCACGCTACGATGGGACAACCAGTGCCGATCCCGCCGCCGCCCTTACTGTCATTCTCGCCAGACGAAATAGCCACCATCGGCCTGGCGTTGCGTATCCCACCATTTTGGACCGACATGCCCAAAATGTCATTCCTACATTTCGAGTCAGTGATGGGACCACAACACCAGGAGAGCAGGTCAAGTACGAAATGGCGGTGAGCAAGCTGGGTAAGGATAAGCTCAACCAAGTTAGCGACCTCATAAGCAACCCACCGAAACAAGGTCGCTACAACGCACTGAAGAACAGGCTCCTCAGAGCCTTTCAAGCCAGCGCCGACGCTCAGTTTAACAATCACGTGTGGGTGTGCACCAGCCACCAAGATTTTCAATATCTTTAACGCGGGTTTTAATTGGTCTTTTAGTTTGTCCTATACAAGGGAGTCAGAATCAAGCTTGTACACTCCTATATCCTGCTGAGGGACACTTAACTGATGATAAAAACTGACCAATCTTCTTCGGCGGCTTGAAGTATGTTTTAATGGAAGCGCGCTTCAAGATGTAGCTAACCTTGTCAGTGACTCCTCTGACATATGGCTATACAGCTGGTGACGTAGGCGCGGGACCCGAAGCTTGTTGTCATGCAAAACTTGCTTGACGTGTTGGAGCTCGCCGGTCAGGTGTTTACTGTCGCAGATCCCTCGTGCTCTCTGAAACAAAGATTTACCCACGGTAGCTAACCGAGGTGGTGAGAATAACCTAACCTAATAATATAAATGGTCTTTTTCCTATACACAGTGTGGCTCGAGGTGCTATCAGTATTTCGAATTACTAACACATCAAGAAAAGCTTAAGAATTGTTTGTCTCGAACTTCATTGTGAATTGAATTTTAAAATTTATGGAGTTAATATGGTCTAGAAATGCAGTTATTTTATCTAGAGGTAGAATTGTGAAAATGTCGACTACGTACCGGTTATAGAATTCTTGGATTTATGGGAGAAGTAAGCAGGGATTTCTCCTCAAAGACTTCCATGAATATATCGGCAACAATGGGAGATACAGCTGAGTTCATCGCCACATCATCAACTTGCTTGGCGAACTCCTCCTCCCACAATAGGTAGCAAGTATCTGAGTAATACTGCATATTCTATGGGTATGTTGTTTCGTTCCAGCTTTCTAGTTACAATCGAGATGTAATCTTTAACAGGTAAGCATGTGAACAATGACTGCACATCAAAACCGACCATAGTTTCATTGTCTGCCAGATGTAAGCCTTTAATCTCGCTGACAAAATGGTAGAAAACCTTTATATGTGCATTTATATGTCCCCTGAGTAGTGAGAGTAATTTCGCTAAGTATTGAGATAATCTGTAAGTTGGTAAATCGAGGACGTTGTGTAGTATTGGGCTTGTGTATTTTTGGTAACCCATACAACTTTGGTGATTTGGCACATGTAGGTATTATCGATTTGACTTCCAGATTAAATTTTTCGAAGTGTTTTCTTTTATGAGGTCACTAGTTGTTTTAAGGGTGCTATTTGTTGGGTCGTTTATAACCTTTCTATAGGTGCTTGCATCCGACAAAATGTCTTGTATTTTAGTATTTATTATATGACGTTTCCACGACTACCGTGGCATATCCCTTATTCGCGCGGCGAATCGTGAGAACTGGATTATTGCGTAGGTTATTTAACGCTATGAATTTGTATTTGGGTAAATTCGGTTTAGGAATTGAACTTCGACGTAACTTAGATGAAATGTCGACGTATCGCCTCCAAATCTTCTTTCCGCATATTGTTTTCAAAAAAAAGTCCTCGACTAATCTGCGCGGTATTATTGCAAAATTGATTCCTCTTAATAATATTCTAATTGATGCATCACCCCGTAGACAGAGAAACCTATAGACAAATGGACGCCTTCTTCCGCATTCGCATACGTAAAAGATAGATTTATGCATACGTCTTGCATAGAAATGAGACAGAGCGGTGTGATTGTTTGTCCCTTTCTCCGTGCCGGTTTTTTTGTTTAGCAAACTACACTTTGCTAAACAACTTTGACAGTTCTTAGCGATCTAAGGAGTTTACAAGTTGGTTTAAGTGAGAAAGAAAGTGTTCTGTGAGCTCTAGATTGGTGAATCTTGTTCAGTTCATTCTTAGATCAATTAAAATTTTTATCTAAATATGTTTAAAAGTCATAAAGATTATTGTATAACCTAAAACTACGTTATCGTCCTTTCTCACTTTAAGCCACGCTAATCATTAGTCTATAGGTTTCTCTGTCTACGAATCACCCAGTGTTTGTTTTGACAGATTATAGAACGCAATTAGCTATGATCTGCTATGATCTGTGTTTGTAGTTGACGGTTGCGTTTGATTCTGACATTGATTCAGATGTTTAACATTTGATTTGTTCGTTAATTTTTGATATTTTTCTATATATTCGTTTTTTTTTTCGTTCGTTATATTTACTAATTTCGCGTTTTTTTAACGTTTTAATTTTTTTTTTAATAATTTATTTTATTTTGATAAAATGTACAAATTATTCCAATAAGTCTTAACTTAAAAATAGTCTACAATAACAGGCACCTGAACTAGGATAAACCTGTATCTCAGGTGTATGTGCTAAAAGATACATTAACAAATATTTTCTGTTTCTTATATAAAATGAATAACGTACTAACTAATAAGGGTTATTTGGGTAAAATATATTATCATTAATTTACTTATGATATTAATTAACTTAAAACAATCAACAACTTCTCCGTATCATCGTATGACAAATTTTGTAACCATGTTCGAATTACCTTTTTTACAGTCTGCCATTTTTAATGGATATATATACAAAATTGCATTGACTTGATTATACAAAAAAGGGCCGAGAAATGTAAAAAATCTATGCATGAAATAATGCCTTATTCTAATGTTAGTTTCAATTACTTTATCTTTGCGCCTTTTATCAGTGACCTCTCTTCTATAAGGCAATCTTAAGTGCTGTTTTAGTAACATGCTCATAACAAATAACTGGCGCACTGAGAGGACATTATAGGATTTGTATAAGAGATGGGATGGAAATAGAATAGGGCGGAATGTTGCAACTTTTAATACAGCTCTTTGAGCGCGTTCCAGTGGTAGTAGTGTAGTTTTAGCTGCTCCACCCCAAGAGGTTATACAATAGGTGAGTATTGACTGACATAATGCGTAATATACTTGTTTTACTACCTTATTATCAGCAAAAGAACGAATTTTTTTTAAAAACAAACATTAGTTTACGAACTCTATTGCATAGGTGGTTTATGTGGTTTTTAAATGTAAACGTAGAATCTATAATTATTCCAAGGTACTTAACAGTTTTTGTATTAGAAATAACTGGGCAGTAACATTTAGACTCTGTGACTGAGTAACATTGATGTGCATAAAGTTCTGGAATGGTTATATGCTGGGTTGAGCTGCGCATAGAAAAATGAATATATTTGGTTTTGTCCGTATTCAGTGTTAATATGTTTTGTTGGAGCCATTTATTAACTCTATCAAAACCTTGCTGAGCATATGAATAAACCTTGTCAACTGTATTTGCGGAAAAAAGTAGCACGGTATCATCTGCGTAAGATATTATTTTACCTGAGTTAAGTTCAAGATTGCAAAGGTCATTTATATAAATCAAAAATAGGGTTGGCCCTAATACACTTCCTTGAGGCACGCCAAAATGAGTACTTTTTTGTTCAGAGCTAACAACCTTATCGATTTTTATGCATTGATATCGATTTTCTAAATAATTCTTAAAAAGTTGAAGCTGCTTACCTCGAATACCTATGCTCTCTAACTTATTTAATAGGATAGGAATAGAAACCGTATCAAATGCTTTTGCAAGGTCAAGGAAAATGCCAATTGATTGGTTGCCTTTATCTAATTCTTGAGAGACGTAATCGGTCATTTCCTGCACAGCATCAGCAGTGGACATTTTAGGCCTGAAACCATATTGCATATTCGATAATATGGATTTACTTTGTAAATAATTCATTAATCTGTTGTTAATTAATTTTTCTAATATTTTAGACGTGGATGAGAGTATTGAGATAGGCCGATAATTGGAAACGTTTTTTTTGTCCCCCCGATTTGAATACTGGAACTACAATTGCTTTTTTTAAACAATCTGGGAAAATTCCTTCAGAGAGACAAATTCTGAAAATATGGGTTAATGGTGGTACTAGAATTTGTCTATATTTTTTTAATATACTAGTGGGTAATCCGTCCCATCCAACCGCGCTTGTTTCTTTCAGTCCCATTATAATCCTTTCCACCTCACTAGGGTCCGTATCTAATAATGTGAACGAGCTTAATTGGCAGGTTTTTTTGAGTTAATAAAGTGGCCCTGTATTCACAATTATTGTTAGAGTTGTTTGTTATCTGCTCAGCCAGATTTTTACCAACGTTCACAAAGTAATTATTTACTGTATTTGCTGATATAAGCGGCGAGGCATTATTTTGTAATAATTCTGACGAAGATTCATGCTGTTTGGAAATAAATGCAATATCTTTTACATGCCGCCAAATCTTTTTATTATCTCTACCAGACTCTTCTAGTAAGTTTGTAAGATAATTATACTTCAACTTTTTTTAATAAATTGTTACAAAAATTCCTATATCTTTTATATGAAATTTGTAAAATGGAATTATCTGAAGAGGTCTTTGCCATCAGGTGTAGTTTGTCCCTGTGTTTCATGCACCTAATCAGGCCAGGTGTAATCCAAGGCTTTAAGTTATTATTTTTTTTAGCTACTGTTCTATACGAAGTATTGCTAGCAATGGCATTTCGTATGTTATTTATTAAGTAAGGCAAAGAGATGTTTACGTCATCGGTTTTATAAACTGGGCTAAAGTCAATGTTTTGAATTGCTTGTTCAAGGTTTTTCGTATTAATTTTAGTAATAGAGTACTTACAATTAGGTTTCGATATTTTAAGGCTTAAGTTAAGAATGACGGCACTATGGTCGGTTACTATAGGACTGGTGACAAGGGTTATTGATGGTAACCTAGTTTTTAGTAAAGTGTGGTCTAAACAAGAACCACTTAGATGTGTAGGGAGCAAATGTGCTGGAAGCAGGCCCTGGCATGCACATATATTAAGGTAGTCTTTTGCTCCGCCTTCACTGCCTTCTGGGTTTATATCAATATTCATATCACCCGTTAACACTATATTTTTGAACGACGACAGTTTCCTAAGTGTAATGTCTAATGACGTGATAAAATTGTCTATTTGCTTAAAACCACAAGGTCTGTAAACAGCAAGGATAGCAGTTTCATGACCCACTTTCACCAATAACCTGCTACAATCTAGCATATTAGGCTCCTCGACTGATATGTTCGTATTTTTTTTCGCAAAGACTACAACACCGTCATTTTGG